CCAACCCGGGCCTGTGCCCTTGACTGGAATCGAACTGGGGACCCTTCAGTCCGCAGGCCAGCACTCCATCCACTGAGCCAAACCAGCGAGGGCTCTTTGTTCTCTTTTCCTCCAGGTTCTGATATTCCTGAAGAGGACACTGAGCAAAGGTGAGCATGGTTTGAGGGAAATCTTCAGTCAGCACGATGTCTGCTACACTTGAGGAGAGATAGGCATGTGGCTTTATACCAGAATTTACCAGCATCAAGTCTGCTGCAGAGACAGCTGGACTGGCCTGAGACCTCAGAGTTCAGCTCACGTCTCTGAGGGCAGTCGTCATCCGTTAGTGGCAACTACATTAACTGCAACACTCCTCTATGTACTGGGCACACAGACAGCTGTGTTGGTTTGAGAAAGTCAGAGTTGTTGTTGAGTACCTTATGTTTGGATTGGTGAGAACTGAAAGCTGACTCAGTGGCATAGAGCTGCCCCTAAACCATGGAGTGTGTTGATGGTGGATTGAGCCTTAGGGATGGGTACCGTAAAAAAAATTCCTGATTGGCTTTGAGGAATTAATTTTGTAATGTGTGAGTAGGGAGACCAATTTTACACTTGAGTAATAACTTTAATCTTTCTCCACCTAACTTCTTCCTGCCTTTCAGAGGTCCTCTTCCGAGAGCTAGAGGTGCGACAGGTTGCCCTGAGACATCTCATTCACTTCCTTAAGGAAATAGGGGATCAAAAGCTGCTTTTAGATCTCTTCAGGTAAGAACTGATCATCTGGTCCAGTAAATAAATTAAGTATTTTGTCCAAAGCACTCTGGGGAACACAAAGAAGACACTGTCTGTTTGTTCTGGAAATGCTTATTAGACAAGATATTGAAATGTGATGGGATAACTAGCACCACAGGCTGTGATAAGGTGACTATGTAGCACGTGGTTCAGAACCAGGCTCTGGAGTCAGACATACCTGCATTGACTGGCTCCACCATTAATTCGTAGCATGACCTTGAGCAAGTTACCCAGCCTCTCCAAGTATCAGTTTTCACATCTGTAAAATGGAGATGGTGATACCTACCCCACAGGATCATTATAAAGATGAAGAGTTAGTGTTATATAAAATACTTCCATAATGCCTAGTCTGTAGTATTAATATTTAGTAAGCTTTTTAAAATGGAAGATCTATAGTGAAGGTGTCTTCTTTTTTTAAATTCTCATTCAAGGAGTGAGGATATTTTTTCCATTGATTCTAGAGCAGCGGTTCTCAACCTGTGGGTTGTGACCCCTTTGGCGGTCGAACGACCCTTTCACAGGGGTCGCCTAAGACCATCCTGCATATCAGATATTTACATTACGATTCATAACAGTAGCAACATTACAGTTATGAAGTAGCAATGAAAATAATTTTATGGTTGGGTCACAACATGAGGAACTGTATTTAAAGGGCCAGAAGGTTGAGAACCACTGTGTAGAGAGAGTGGAAGGGAGCAAGAAAGGAGAAAGATTGGGGGGAGAAAGAGAGAGAAACATCAGTGTGACAGAGACACATTGATTGTTTGCTTCCCTCACCCATCCCAAATGGGGGCGGCGATCGGACCTGCTACCCAGGGACGTGCCCTTGATTGGTGTACAGGCCAGTGCTGTAACCACTGAGCAATACCGGCCAGGCCTGAAGGTATCTTTTATTATTGGTCCCAGGGCTGAAGGTACCTTAAATTACAGTGTTGGTAGTGAGAAGTACAGTGGAAGAGCAGAAGAAGCAAATGTAACTTTTAGTCAGGATACCGGAGGATAGCCTTATGGAAGAGGTTAGGAACTGAGGGGCTTATGAGACTAGGCAGGATTCTGATTGGTGGAGAGGTAAGAGGTAGACATATCTGCTGGGGCTGGAGAGTGGGTTGGTAAGGGGGTGTCTTCTATTTTCCTTTCTTATCTCATTCCAATCAGTAGGTTATTTCTTACCTTTAGGTTAAAATGTGTGTATGTTATGTTCTTTCTTCAGTGTCAGAGAAGGGGTTGGAACCTCTCTTGAGGCTGACATGTGGCCTAGGGTAACTCCAGTTACCAGTGACTCCAGCACACTGATGAGCTCCCCAAAGACTAAGGTGGGGAAAGCAGGTCACCTGGTTAGAGTCAAGATTACAGATGGTTAGCCATGAGTTTTCAGAAGGCACATTGATCAAGGCAAGGTGTTCTCTCCCTCCTTCCCTCCTTCCCAGTCAACAGGCTTCAGTAAGCCTCACCTCTATGTCAAAGCATGATGTTGAGTATAGTGGACCGTTCAGAGTAAGAAGGGATCAGAATATCAAAGTCCTTGTTCTCCAAGGCCTTACCGCCTTTTGGGAAAGGCAAAGCACACTTCACTCTGCACATGAAAACGAGAACAATGTAGAAAACCTGTTCGGGAGTCGGCAGAGAAGGAGAGTGCTTGACTCTTCCTCAAAGGGTCCATGGCATTACTGTGGGCTAAGGAGGCTCTGACCTTCCCATGAGCCCAGTTAACCCTACTGTTATTAGTGCCCTGCGGTGCCTTCTTGTCCCTGCTTTTTGCTCAGCTAGAAAGATCAGGGGAACACTGATACCTCGTCCACCATGTGTTTTCAAAGGGTTGCTGTGGTAGAAAGTTTAAGAAGACAAGGGTTTATCTTACATATGGAGGCAAATGAGTTTGAATTGTGTTCTCTTAGAGCAGTTGTCTTATTTTGTGAAGTTATGCTGCCACATGTCAATAGATAAAAATGCTGTGTTCCTTCTGCTTCTTCCCAGGTTCCTAGATAGGACAGAAGAGCTTGCGGTAAGTGTGGCCTTTGTTTCAGTTGGGGACTTATTTAACTGAAATCTAAGCCAAAACCCAGTTGCCAGGATCCCAGAATGATTGAACATACTTATTTTCCATTTGTATTGATTATATTCAGAAGAGAGAGACATCTAGGAATCCTGAAAACTTAGTCCAAATGATGTACTACTTTATTGTTTTTTCTACGTTCTTTTAATTGTGCTGTAAATTTTAAAAAATGAATGAAAATTGGCTCATCAATTTGTAATTTTGTGTGTTTCTTTTTAGTTGTTTTCAATTCCTGGTTTGTAGGAGCTTTTGGATTTTGGCTTCTAATACTAAAGAAGATGCTGGTCCTTGGCTGGATAGCTCTATTGATGAGAGCATTATCCTGATATGCCAAGGTTGAGGGTTTGATCCCCGATCAGGGCACATACAAGAATCAACCGATGAATGCATAAATAAGTGGAACAACAAAATTGATGTTTCTCTCCCTTTCACTCTCTCTCTAAAATGAATAAGAAGAAAGGAAAAGAAAAGAAAAGGAAAGAAAAGACACTATTGTAAGCTAAGAGGGATAAGAAACCAGATATATGTCAAGAAGGAAGATAGGTCAAGCTAGTGGCACACCCAGCACACACTGGCTAGAGCTCAGTGACTGAATGTTAAAATAGATTTCTGACAGATTTTCACCATTATAGAGTGAACTTCTGGAATATGAGAATAAATCTGAAATTTAACCAAAAGTTTAATTATATTACTAAAACTTTAGTGATCCATTTTAAAATATATTTTTATTGATTTCAGAGAGAAAAGGAGAGGGAAAGAGAGATAGAGACATCCATGATGAGAGAGAATAAATGAACAGCTGTCTCCTGCACGCCCCCTACTGGAGATCAAGCCCACAACCTGGGCATGTGCCCTTAACCGGATTCGAACTTAGGACTCTTCAGTCCTCAGTCTGACGCTCTATCCACTGAGCCAAATGGCTAGGGCCATTTTTTGAAATTTGTTATAGTTCGGGGCTCAACTTCCCAGCGCTGTCAGTGGCAGGATTGTTCCTTGAGTCACTGTACAGCACATGTGTGGTGAGAGCAGTGCTCATGTTTGGCTGGCACATTTAATAATGTTGTTATACACAACAGAGTATAACTCAGGAAAATCTTTTTTAGTAATATTTTGTAAAAGGAACATGTACTTAATATTTAAGTCAGCGTAAAGTCTCAAAAAATGCTGTATCTTATTCTGCTGAAAATGATTGGCAATTTGTAGTAATCATTTTGAAAAGTCTTTGTTTCTATTTTTAATCTCCATAGATTTGAAACTAAGGAATTTTTTCCATACGGCATTCTTATAAAGTTTGTTGTTTTGAAGTTTGATTAGTGAAAATAAATGTGGTTTGGGTAACTCAATTTTATTTAAAACTTTATTTTTTTTTTGCATGTACTTTATTATGTTTGAATTGAAGATGTTTTATTATAGATCAGCATGCCCAATAGAACTTCCTGCAATGATGGGAATATTCTATATCTGTGCTGTTCGATGTGGGAGCCACAGATCACTTGTAGCTGTTGAGCACTTCAAAAATGACTAGTGCAACTAAGGACCTGAATCTATTTCTTTTTAATTAGTTTAAATTTACATATAAACAAACACATGTGTCTACTGGCTACCATATTACATATTGCAATTATAGATAAACCAAAGAGTGACTTTTTTTGTAAAGATTTTTTAAATTGATTTTTAGAAAGAGGGAGAGGGAGAGGGGGGGGGGAAAGGAGAGAGAGAGAGAGAGAGAGAGAGAGAGAGAGAGAAACATGGTTGTGAGAGCAAGAAATGGATCGGTTGCCTCCTGCATGCCCCCTATCTAGGATCTAGCCTGGACATGTGCCCCTACTGGGAATTGAACTGGCAACCTTTTGGAGCACAGGACAATGCCCAACCAACTGAGCCACATTGGCCAGGGCCCAAAGAGTAATTTCAAATCACTCTTTGCTCTCTCCATCCCCACATCCAATCCATACCAAGAAGGAATCTCTGATAATGAAGAATTTAACTTTAAAAATATGTGTGTGTGTGTGTGTGTGTGTGTGTGTGTGTGTGTGTGTATTGTTGTTGATTTCAGAGAGGAAGGGAGAGGGAGAGAAAGAAGCATCAGTGATGAAAGAGAATCATTGATCGGCTGCCTCCTGCACATCCCCTATTGGGGATCGAGTCTGCAACCCAGACATATGCTCTGACCTGGAATCGAACCGTGACCTTCTGGTTCATAGGTTGACACAACCACTGAGCCACACTGGCTTGGCAAGAATTTAGTTTTTAGGCATGGAAAGTCTGCTTAAGGAGTTACCTCCCCCTTCTAAGGAGACAAACTAGCTCACAGCCTTTCTATGTTTTTTTCTTAAGCTGTCCCATTATCGAGAGCACTTGAGCATTCAGGACCCTGAGAAACGGAAAGAATTTCTTAAGACCTGCATTGGGTAAGTATGGAGAAGAAATGTTTTTAAGTATAAATACTCATATGCAAAGGAATTAAGTGACTGAAAGAGGGTGGAATGGATAGATAGTTGAAGGGAAAGGCTAACACAATGGATCATACAAGCATCATTAAAAATTGTCTTACTCAGTGGTTTGAAATACTAGTCCCCAATAGGATTTTCATTGATTGGTGATAAATTAAGGAAAATAAAGACAATATAGAGTTTTGGTTTTTTCTTTTGAAAGTTAATTTATTTAATTGAAAGACTGCCTTTTATTTTGGGATTTTTCCCCTCCTCTATCAACCCTACCCCCCCCCACACACACATACAAATTTTAAAAAATGGTCCTTGACTGGATATACACTTTTTGATAATAAAATTGGTTGTAATTATTTATGACAGTGGTTCTTAACCTTCTGGCCCTTTAAATACAGTTCCTCATGTTGTGACCCAACCATAAAATTATTTTCGTTGCTACTTCATAACTGTAATGTTGCTACTGTTATGAATCGTAATGTAAATATCTGATATGCAGGATGGTCTTAGGCGACCCCTGTAAAAGGGTCATTCGACCCCCAAAGGGGTCGCGACCCACAGGTTGAGAACCGCTGATATATGACCATATGTATCACAGTAACAGTGGGAACACTTTACCTTATATCAGTGGTTCTCAACCTTCCTAATGCTGTGACCCTTTAATACAGTTCCTCATGTTGTGGTGACCCCCAACCATAAAATTATTTTCGTTGCTACTTCATAACTGTAATTTTGCTACTGTTATGAATCGTAATGTAAATATCTGATATGCAGGATGGTCTTAGGCGACCCCTGTGAAAGGGTCGTTCGACCCCCGAAGGGGTCGCGACCCACAGGTTGAGAACCACTGCCTTATATATTATTTTCAATGTTACTGGTCCTTGAAACCCCAAAGTTCAAGAACCACTGATTCAGTACAGGCTTTGACCCAGAATATCAGTCCCTGTGAAAACCAGCCCCACACATCACTCTTCCAATGATTGGGCACTCGCTGCTCTTGGAAGTAGCTCATTTCATTGTTGGACAACCTTCATGATTGCAAAGTGCTTCCTTATATTGAGCCAAATCTTGCTTCCCTGAATCTAAGGCAAGTGTAGAGTCTGCCCAGTGAACCTTGCTTCTCCAGGCCCAGTGTTCACAGTGGTTCCAGTCATTCCTCATGTGACGTGATTTTCAGGTTTCACATTCAGAAATTCATTTATGTCAATGCCATCTTCACTTTTAACCTTATCAAATCAAATACTGAGTTATGTCCTATGGCCTCTGGTAAACAAAGAGAAAAGTTAGAGCAGTGAAGTGACTGGAACCTATTTTCATTTCCTCTTACCTCTTTTAAAAATTGGCTGTGGCTCACATTTAATCTGGGATAGTATAATTGAATTTCAGAATTCTTCCTGGAATGCGTGGAGTAGGAGAATAAGGCCACAGTTTCTGAAGGGTAGATCTGTGAACTGGGAGTTTAAAATCTGGCTTCTGTTCCTGGCCTTACCCAGTGACTTGCCATGTGCCTTTTAAGTAAGACACTGTTTGTCCCTCAGCTTCTTCATGTGTAAAAATATAATGTAGTATTGAAGATGGGACCTTTGACATTTGTGTAAATCTTTGACATCTATACCAGTCTACAAACATACTACCGTGCCATGTAATTTAATTTTACCTTATTACCCTACACTAAAACAGTAGCTCACAAATGTAAGTGACCCTGAAGGAGAGTTAAGCGTTGACATTAAGCAGTAACATGAACCGAAGTGCTTCACTGCAATGCAGATGAGCAGTTGGCTGGGCTCACTCCTTAGCCAAGTGACTCACCAATCATTACACCTCCCACAGCGAGAGGATTCTAGTTCATTCCTCAACAAAGTCACTAATGGCTACATATATTTTGTCAATTTTCAGGATCCCTCTTTAGTTGGCAAAAACCTTAAATGCAAAATCCCAGCCAAAGGTCTGCTCTGTTTTCTGCTTTCTGCCTTTTAGTGTTCCCCCAGAGGTGAATTGAGATGAGATTTATGAAGCACCATGAGCCTCTTATGTTCTAGTAGTGATTTGGTTTAGTTGGGTTTGTTTTCTGTTTGAGTAGAGAAAAAGGTACTAACCTTCTGGCTCTTTATCAGTTTGCCATTTTCAGTGGAAGATTCTGCACACATACAAGACCATTACACACTCCTGGAACGTCAGATCATTATTGAGGTTAGACTCCTCGTATCTGTGTTTTCTGCTTCAGTGCCATCAGCCTCTGGGACCCATCTGTGCTCTGCCCACATATGTCATTTCCTGTTACAGTCTCTAAGAGCCTTTCGTTTTCTCCCTCTCCACCATAGCCCCTTCCCTCCACTGTTCTCAGCATCCTTATCCTTCTCACCTGCAGTTAAACTGGAAGTTTTTTCTCTTCATCCCAGAATTCCCATCGCATTGCCACTTCTCTGTCTGCCTCCATCCAACTTGGATCTATCATCATTTTAGGGCTTTTAGACTCCCGTGGGTCATCCTAGCCGTTTCTTTTTCTCTTCCTTGCCTCTTTCCTAGGGTAGGAAATGCAGCTACTGTAGCATTAAGTTTCTCTCTGCTTCTACTGCATGGACATAGTTCTTTTTTTCACTTGGCTCGCTCCACTACAGGCAAATGACCGCCATCTAGAAGCAGCAGGACAGACTGAGATCTTCCGGAAGCACCCCCGCAAAGCTTCCATCCTCAACATGCCACTAGTGACGACACTCTTCTATTCCTGCTTCTACCACTACACGGAGCCCGAGGTACAGGCAACATGGGAAAGACCCCACACACTCCCACTGCGCAGAGGAACGTAGCTCGAAGTCAGTATTTTGATGTACCCTGTTATCAAGGGGTGCCTGTAGTTCTTGGAAATCCACCTGGAGGCTTTCCTGGCCCTCAGGGGTGAGCCAGGAGGGAAGAGGGGTTTGTAAGGCTTGTGTGGTGCCCGGTGAACTGGCCCATAGCATAGCACGTTCTGTCTCAGCAGTGCTGGTCCCACAGCGGGCTCTGTTCAAAGGCCCATAAATGCACATGGATTGACACAGAAGAGCAGCAGGGTGTCAGGTAACTGGATGTTTGAACACATTTTATAAAATTTAATGATCACAAGTGGACTTTGGATTAGCATACAATTGGGAAAAATACCGTACTTATTAACCCAGTCTTGTTAAGCTGGGTTGCAATGATACCTGATTAGACCCGATGGAGCTTTGCTCTCAAAATAATTTCTGGGTTTAATTGGTTACAGAGTAAAATGTAGAAAGTCTAGTCAGTACAAAAGAAGATGGGGGATTGGGTGGTATTTTGGGAAAGTCGGTAACAATACAGTTTCTTCTCCACTTTCACCCTAGGGGACATTCAGCAGTCCAGTCAACCTGAAGAAGACATTTAAGGTAGATATAAAATGGTCGGTGCTTTGGTAAAAGTAGTATCAGGGTACCTATGTGGAGTGGATGTTGCTTTGTAACCCTGCACAGTAAGTGTCTTATATTCACGGTTAAAGGTGGAAAGGGAAGTGTTTGTAGGGAGTGAGGTAAGGCTTTAACTGAATGGCCTACCTCAGTGCTGGGGCTTGGAAACCACGGGGTTCTTGGTGACCTGAGAGACTTACAGGTTTTTAAGAGGCAGAATCAACACTATGGTATATTTTTTGTCTATCTTTTCCAGAATTCTCAAGTACCTCCTCTGGCACCTTCCTTCTTCCCCTTAAATTCCTCTGGTCTCTGCTTTCTAGATCCCAGATAAACAGTATGTGCTGACTGCCTTGGCCGCCCGCGCCAAGCTCCGTGCCTGGCATGATGTAGATGCTCTCTTTACCACAAAGGTGAGTGCCTGGATCTCTGTGCTGCTGATGCCTCAGGCACATCCTCTTGTTATCCTAGACCAGTGATTGCGAACCTATGACACGCGTGTCAGAGGTGACACGCGAACTCATTTTTTTGGTTGATTTTTCTTCGTTAAATGGCATTTAAATATATAAAATAAATATCAAAAATATAAATCTTTGTTTTACTATGGTTGCAAATATCAAAAAATTTCTATATGTGACCCGGCACCAGAGTTAAGTTAGGGTTTTTCAAAATGCTGACACGCCGAGCTCAAAAGGTTCGCCATCACTGTCCTAGACTCATGGGAGTCTTCTGTTCCAGTGACTGGCTTACATCTTTCCTCCAGCTTTTTATTTTCCAAAATTTCACGTCTAAAGTTGAAAGAATATTATAGTGAATACTAATAGTCTTTACCTACTTCACTCATTTATTAACATTCTCGCTATATATGCTTTCTCTTTTTCTATGCACGTAGAAAAAGAAACAGCAAATAAGCTTTTTTTTCTTTCGCCGAACCATTTGAAGGTAAGTTTTAGACATCTCTCTTAAAAATTTTTCTCCTTTTTAACTCCTCTCAAGAAATGTAACATTAATGTAGTACTGTAATCACATATATAGTCTGTAATAAATTAGCTCCTTAGAGCGGTTTCTGTTTGTTCTTGTGTTGGTTCGCTGTCAAGGATCTTGCATTATATTTGGTTGTCATGTCTACTGGTTGACATTTTAAATACTGATTTGTTTTCATTATGGGTTTGAGAATTTTCTGTTTTCCCCCCTTTGTTAGTTATTTAATTAGCTACATTAACTACCAAAGCAATACGTGTCTGTGTCCAAATTAAACACTGTATGGAAGTATAAAGAGTAAAGAGTGACGTTTCTCTTCCACTGACTTCCTGCTCCTAGTCTCACCCACTTCCTCAAGGCAGATGCCATTAAAAGTTTGATGAGTGCTTTCCAGATCTTTCCTAACGAATTTATAAAGAAACCTCTTTGCCCTAGCCGGTTAAGCTCAGCGGATAGAGCGTCGGCCTGCGAACCAAAGGGTCCCGGGTTTGATTCCAGTCAAGGGCACGTACCTTGGTTGCAAGCTCCTCCCCAACCCGGGCCCTGGTGAGGGCTCATGCAGGAGGCAACCAGTTGATGTGTTTCTTTCACATTGAAGTTTCTCTCTCTGTCTTTCCCTCTCTCTTCCACTCTCCCTAAAAATCAATGGGAAAAAAAAATACAAAGAAACATCTTTATATAAATATAAGTTTGGCTCAGTGGATAGAGCGTCAGCCTGCAGACTGAGGAGTCCCAGGTTCGATTCCCATCAAGGGCACATGCCCAGGTTGCAGCAGGCTTAACCAGTAGGGGTGCAGGAGGCAGCCAATCAATGATTCTCTCTCATTGATGTTTCTATGTCTGTGTCCCTCTCCAATCAATAAAAATATATTTTTTTAAAAAAAGTAGAGATGTAAAGAGTAGGACTTTCCTCCTAGATAAGTTCATACTACAAGTGTGGTTATGTAAATTACTTATTTTATTTCATTTAGCTGTATTTCACACTTTTCTGCATTAGTGCCTATAAATCTAAGAACTTATTTTATACTTCTGACTCTCTCCCACCCTCTCAAGTTTCTTGACTTTTCTAAAAAACTCATCTCTCATTTCCCTGTTCCCCACCCCAGTCCATCCACTCTCACCATCACATTATTCTAGGCTGACTGTAAAATGCAGGGAGACAAGCTCAGGGTGTACTGTTCGTGTCTGGCCTACCTACTACTGCCATCTTCTTTCTCAGAACTGGCTGGGCTACACCAAGAAGAGAGCACCTATTGGCTTCCATCGGGTTGTGGAAATTCTGCACAAGAACAGTGCCCCCGTCCAGGTAATGGCTCCTGAAGAGAGTTGGGGACAGGATCCTCTAGGAGACCTACCTTGTAGCCTCTTACTGGTCAGTGATAGGAAACCTGACCTGTTCTGTTCTCCCCTTAAGGGCAACATGATGGCTGTATTGGTCTTGATGTAGGACAGGCCAGAGAGAGACGTTCTCCTCTGCCCTTTAGAAGTAACCTGCCCTCTCTGAGGAGCACCCACTGTGTTTAGCCCGTGTGGAGTACGGCCATATTGGTGAAATGCTACAAAGGAGAACTCACTGAGAAGGGACATCAGGGCACAGTGCAGATCAGGTGTGGAGCATGCCCGTTGCTGGCCTGGGTATCCACCTCTAGGCTATGGAAGAGCGTGCTCTTCCCTGCTTTCCTGGGGAGTGTGGAATGCTGCTTGGGGTCCACCTCATTTCCCATCACAGAACTGGTCCTGTGGTTGCAGATGTAGATGAACTCGTCTACCTTCTTTCGGATTTTTTTTTCTACTTTTCAGAGTTCTGGGAATTATTAATCAGAAGTACCTCTTCCCACAGATATTACAGGAATATGTCAATCTAGTGGAAGATATGGACACAAAGTTGAACTTAGCTACCAAGTTCAAGTGCCACGATGTCGTCATTGATGTGAGTCCCCAGGAAATAAGAACCCTGAGTTAGAGCCTCAGTGGAGAGTGGGGGGGTTATGGTATTCTCTGTCCTGGACCCTGAGATCCTGCCATCAGTTTCGACGTTATGGGCAAAATGGTCTGGCAGGAGTTCGTTTGGAGGCCAGCACTTCTATGCTATCTTCCCAGCCTTCTGACTGGTTTCTCTGTGCTCTTAAAAGTCTGTTGCACTCAGAGAACTGAATCAAGTCACATAAGCTCTGTAGACTTCACTCCAGCATGAGGTTCTGAGGGGACTTGGCCCCTGTCACCCAGCCTCTTCTTGAACCTTGGCTCGAAGTGGGAGTAACAAAAAGCAAAAGACCTTCCTAGAGAAGGCTGATCTGGGGCTCACTGCTTGTCGGTTTTGGTGTGCAGACTTGCCGGGACCTGAAGGACCGTCAGCAGTTGCTAGCGTACAGGAGTAAGGTGGACAAAGGATCTGCAGAGGAGGAGAAGATCGATGCCATTCTCAGCAGCACGGTGAGCAGGGCAGCTACCCCGCCACAGCCTGGGGAGACAGACAGTTCTCAAAGTAGCATCAAGTGTATAAAAGGGTAACCTGGGGACCTCTGGCTGAGACTTAACTGTAACCGCTCTGAAAATTGTTAAACCTAGCAGGTAGGAGAGACTTCCTACTAGCAATATAGGAACGAATGTTAGATTCAGAACATCCCAGGAATGGATATTACCTACCTGTTGGCAGTAAGAAGAGGGTGAAATCAATTTTAGCAATTTGGGAAATACAGCCTGCTTGTCCCTCATAGCATGAAATTGCTGAGCTTTTTGTTAATGTTGATCTTAGTTCCCTGTTAGATGTTTTGGGACCTTCCTGGGGTCATTGAAAGCTAGTGAATCTTTTTTTTTTTTTTAAATGATTTTTCAACTTTTTTTTTTTAATCCTCACCCAAGGATATGTTTTTATTGATTTTAGAGAGAGGAAGTTAGGGGGGAGAGAGAGACATCAAAGTGAGAGAGAAATATCAATAAGTTGCCTCCCGTACATGCCCTGACTGGGGATCAAACCTGGGAATGGATATTACCTACCTGTTGGAAGTAAGAAGAGGGTAAAATCGATTTTAGCAATTTGGGAAATACAGCCTGCTTGTCTCTCATAGCATGAAATTGCTGAGCTTTTTGTTAATGTTGATCTTAGTTCCCTGTTAGATGTTTTGGGACCTACCTGGGGTCATTGAAAGCTAGTGAATCTTTTTTTTTTTTTTAAATGATTGTTCAACTATTTATTTTTAATCCTCACCCAAGGATATGTTTTTATTGATTTTAGAGAGAGGAAGTTAGGGGGGAGAGAGAGACATCAAAGTGAGAGAGAAATATCAATAAGTTGCCTCCCGTACATGCCCTGACTGGGGATCAAACCCACGACCTGGGTATGTGCCCTGACTGGGAATCGAGCCATACCAGCCAGCGCAGGAGCTAGTTTAATCTTGGCCCTGAGAAGGTTAGGATCAGAATAAATCCCCAACTCAGGCTTGTGAGAATTAGAATAGGTGTCTAGTTCATATCTGAATAAATGAACTCCACTACATATTTTTAAAAAATTTCTTCCCCTCCTCCTCCATTCCTCTTTTCCTTACAGTACCTACCTGTGAGTCTTGTTTTATTGCATTCCCACTACCTCTCTGTAAGGATCAGTGCAAAATGATCATTGTTTTTTCCCACAGCAAATTCGGTGGAAGAATTAAGTGGCATCAGCTACCCTGAGACCTGCCTCGTTTCTTCCTTTCCTGCCTTTGAAAAGAGTGTACTCTCTTTTTGTTTTGTTTTGTTAATCCTCACCCGAGGATATTTGCCATTGATTTTTAGAGAGAGTGGAAGGAGGGGGAGAGACAGAGAGAGAAACATCGATGTGAGAGAGACACATTGTTTGGTTGCCTCCTGCACTTGCCCGACCGGGGCTTGGGATCTGGCCTGCAACCAAAATACGTGCCCTTGACTGGAATTGAACCCAGGACTCTTCAGTCTGAAGCTGACAGAGCGCGCACTCTCCTTTGGGAGAGTTACAGCAGCACATCGCTTGGGCCTGTCATTAACAGGTGACACCTGCTACTCTTGGGACAGAAACTGGCGCCTGAGCACTGATCTTCTGTCCAAGGGCCATTGTCTGAGGGCCGAGATCTAAAGCTTCGACTCATGGGAAAGATTCCCTCCACCTGGTGCTCACGTGAAAGTGGAGTCATTTCTAGACTGGGCCCGTTTGGGGCAAGATCTCTCTTGGTCTGAGGAAAGTGACTGCTCTGCTAAAGAAGTCTCCTAGACTAGGAGGTGCAGCTATCATAGAGTGACCACTCAGTTCCTCTCAGCGACTGTGACCCTGGACTTGGTGCTGGACATGGCCAGTTCTGCTGTGAATGGAGTCACAACAGAACCAAAATGGCTCTCTCCCAGGCTCCTTGAGAAGGGTGCCAATGTTGCAGGACCTCCTGGAGGTGCCCTCACTCCAGACTGCACGGAGCACTCCAAGTTATGACAGATGGCCCAGACGTGTGTCTTCAGCCAGCGTCCCTCTGCTGCCCCAGTCTAGCCTCTGTTCAAGGACCTCTGGTTCCTCTCTCACCTGCAGACTGAGATGACCTTGTGTGGGTGACGAGAACATCCCCACTGCCTTTCCCTCTAACTCTCCTGCCCCAGACTGCCCACCTGTGTGGAGCTTAGATTTGGCAGTACCAGAGCTCTCCCGGATGCACAGAACTCGCTGTTGCACTAGGAGCCTCCACTAGGGCTGACCTCAGCAGCATTTCTGACTGTTAGGATATTGAGATGGAGGCTTTAGTATCACACTTGGTTTTTAAGAGGATGTTCTGTAATGCTAGATGCCTGCCCTATACAATGTTAGCCTCTCTCCTCTGTGACTGGACTGGGTTTCCCCAGACATGCGTAGACTCCTAATAAAGCTGTTTCTTCCTTGGTGCCTTCTTTTTCCCTCCAGTTGTTTTGTGCAGAACAAAGAAATAATTGCCCAGTCTCTTGGGACCACTACCCGTCTGCCTCAGTGACTGCATTCAGCAGCCTACCAACAGGTGTCAGGGTATGGAGCACTGGGGCTTCGAGAGAGCAGGGCCTTGTGGTTAACAGAAGGAGACCTGAGCCGGGGATCAAAAGACCTGGCCTCTGGTCCCGGCTCTACTGACAAGCTGTGTGATGCTGGGTGAGTCCCTCTCTCTCTGGACTCATGATCCTAATCTGTAATAGGAGAGCACAGTTCTCTCGGAGCTTGTAGGATTCTGTCTCCTGTGACTGCGGAGTGCAGAGGCACACACAGGCTTTAAGGCAATGTGGTCCTCAAGTGGGTGCAATTATGCCCCCCAAGAGACCTGTGCCAATGTCTGGAGACACTTTTTGTTGCCACAACTGGATGGTACTACTAATGGATAGAGGCAAGCGATACTGCTAAACATCCTACAATGCACAGGACAGACTCCGCAACACTTACCCAGCCCCAAATATCACTAATGACAATGCTGAGAAATCCGGCTTTAAGGGGACTGGACTCCAACTCTCCCCCCCGCCCTTTATTGATTAGGATATTACAAATGTGTCCTTATCCCCCGAATGTGGATTCCAACTCTTGCTCCTCCACTTTGCAGTCCTCTTTGTGATTCCTGGTAACCATGTTTGGCTCCTCCCCTAATCATCTCTCTTGCTGTGAAGGAACAGGAGTTTAATTTGCTAGCTTGTGCTAAAATTATTGGCTGGTCTTCAAACATTCATAGCTTTAGTAACTGGTATATTAGGGTTCATTTAGAGAAGCAGACTACTGGAGTATGCAGTCTGTGTCTGTCCATCTAACCTATATGTGAGATTTATCACTGGGATTTGATCTTATTCAAGAATGGCAGTTATTTAAACGGTCTCGGGAAGGTTGTCTACGTGGCTGGTGGTAGAGCTGGGAATCCATGTGGCAGGCAGTGGGGAAGGAGGGATGGGAATACAGTGAGGGGCAAGCAAGGACAAGCTGGAGCCCACTGGGCTGGACTCGAACCCGAGTCAGTTCTCACTTTTGATGAAGTGGGGGTCCTGCAAAAGCTCACTGGTGGCCTTTGTCACTGAGCTGAAAACAGCCCCGGCCCGGGCGTGAAAAGCTGCAGGGGGATCAAGGGGAAGGTAGCAGTTGCAGGCCCAACTGCTGCCCCATCACCAAGAGGGTCCCCAGCAGACACCAAAATGCCTGCCCCTCCCTTACAGGCATCACCACAAACTGACCACTACTTCACTTCCACCTTCCGGACCTTGCCCAGAAATCTCTCCTGTGGCACATCTAACGGGAAATGTACAGAGATGGAAAGTCTGGAAAATGTAGATCACCTAGCCCCCTTGATGTGTTACAAAGCCACAACCACTGGCTTCCCATTTTTGAGATGAGGGGAAAGAGGGCCCTGGCATCCGGGCTTGTACAAGTTAACCTGTGCGGCGGTGGTCAGGAGGAGCTGGACGTCTGGAGTTCTCTTTCCTTTGGAGCAGGAAAAATCACTCGCAAAGTAAGGATGACTTACCCACTGTTTTGGTCTAAGGAAGTGTTTCTTGGACTTGATGAGAACTTCCACACTCTTTACTTCAAAGTGCTGGAGATTTTGCTTTTAAAGAGATTGGGAGAGTAATATAACAGCCCTCCTATAAAAGGGATTAGAGAAGCCAGATACAGGAGGTCCCCTATTGTGATTCCATTCATGGGAAATATCCAGAGAAGGTCAATCCATAGACAAAAAGCAGATTGGTGAGTGGCAGGGGCCGATGAGAGGGTCGAGTAGGGAGTAACTCCCTGATAGGTACAGGGTTTCCTTTGTGTGGGAGATGAAAATGTTTTGGGACTAGAGAGGGGTAGAGGGTGCACAATATTGTGAATGTACTGAAATTGTTCACTTTTAAATGTCCAGGTTACGTGAATATCACCTCAATAATAATTTTTTACTTTAAATGCAGATTAGAGATGAGTAGTTTTAAATTCTGGTCTCAATATCACTATTGTTACATAATAGAGTTTGGAATATCATTGATTTTCCCCAGCTTTATTGAGGTATAATTGTCAAAAGTTACATATATTTAAGGTATACAACATAATTTGATATTGTGAAATGATTACTACAATATCAAGTTAATTAACATACCCATCATCTCATAGTTACCTTTTATGTGGTGAACACACTTTAAGATCTACTCTTAGCAAACTTCAAGTATACAATACAGTATTATTAACTATAGTCACCATGATGTACATTACATTCCCAGAACTTACCTTATTCATTGATTTCTTGAAAATAAAAAGAAGGATTTGAAAAATAACTCTGAGTAGTGCTAAGACCTGTATGGTAGCCTAGTCTACAAAAAAATCTAGAAGTCCAGAACAAAGGACTTCTAGAACCTTCTGTTGGGAAAAGCAGGATCTGTAGCCCTGGTGTAGAACTTCTAGAAGTAGTGAAAGGAATTCATGTCCTCGTGTTGCAGATGAGGAAAACCTCTAGGTGAGGCTGGCCCCCTTAAGACTCCAAGGCAAGTAATTTGGTAACTAAGGAGTCATAATGGCAATTTTTCTTGGGTAGTTCTCCCTGGAAATGTAGTTCTTACCCTGAGGACCAGAAGTAATGAGGAGCAGAGCCATATCCTCCTCAGTTGGGTTGGTGAGAGGTCTATGTAAATGGGCTTACACTTCTTTGGCTTCCTTTTCTAAAATGTAGATGTCCCTGAACTAGACCAGAGAGCATGGTATTTCGTTTGGGCTCTTTTCTATTCTGAGGGGGAACACAAGGTTTAGTGAAATGGGAAGACTTTCTATGAAATATGGTTTAAGTGCTCAGTCCTATTTCTAAAATAGGAGGGAATGGGAGGGAGAAAGTCTTACCCCAAAGGCACCTGTGAGCCCCATTGCTAATGTTAATGCATCTGCTGAGAGAAGTGCCTATGGAGGAACATCGCTCTGGATTTTTGTTCAGGTTTTTCATGAATCCAGGTATTCTCGATTAACGGGCAGTCAGTGCTTAGGACTTCTCACGCTGAAACAGAGAAGTGGATGAGAGCTGTGAGTTCAGGACTTGGAGGAGATGGGCTGAAGCCCAGCACCATGAGAACTTAGGACTTGGGCGCACACACACCCTCCTTCATAGACTCCCTCTTCTTCCAGGATAGGGAGCCAAATTGATCCATCGGCTTAGAGATGGACATGCTAAAGGACCTTACGTCCATGCAGTTTGAATATGGGATTGAAGAGGAAGACCGCTGCTGGCTGTATTTGCAGGGTCGTTATCAGGGGCGGATGATCGAGGCCTGTGCCCACGCAACCTTCTTCTGCAAGCTACTCCATAATTTGAGGTAAGCAAGATCTCCAGGGTCAGACAGATGGAGAAGAATCTCACTGCAAAGACTCCAAATGGCTTTAACTTTTTATATTGGAGAATAACTTTGGTGTCTTCCTACCTTTTCCAACCCACAGTCTATTATTCCTGGTCTGAAAACACCAAAGAAATGCATACTGAGGTCCCTTGGCTGTGGTTCTGTCATAAAGCATGGATCAGTGATGATTTCCTTTCAGTGGATGGATTGATTAAATAATAAATTCATTCATCCCTCCATTCATTCATTCACTCATGGAGATGACCAATGACTTGTCATCCCATGAAGATGGCATGAGTTCCTTTTTATGGGGCTAATAGTGGAATGCTCCCTGATAGGAAAGCCATCTTAGACTTCAGGGTCCCTATGACCAGATGACTTGCTTGAAACCAGGAACACTGATTTACAGAGAAGCTCTCAGACCAGTCCTGGCTTCTTCTATCTTTGTACAATGTGGCTTCAGACTTTATTGATTAGGATATTACAAATGTGTCC